TGGCTGAAGTCACCCGGCATCTTGAGCTCGGCGGGCCGATCAGCCACGTGCCGTGCACGGTCGACGCTTGCCCTTCGTGGCGTAATGCGTCGGGCGGATGCCTACGGGCAATGCAAGTCCATAGTCAAGAGGCATATTTCGAGAAAGGCCTTGCCAAGGTAGCAATGATGGTTCTAGGGCGGGTATCAAGCATTCTCAGCTGTCCCAACTGGGGGAGTGTCTGCAGCCTAACAAAGGAGACAACTCGTAACTCGTGCGAGTTGCGGCAACTAATACATAGGTATATACTCAGAAACATTCAACACAACCTCCATTCAACCGACTGCTGTATCAGAAAGAACTTGCAACAAAAAGTGTATTAAACAAAAATATTTCGCAATATGACCACCACTTCAAAAGGCACCAACCGAGCAACAGCCTAAGCTTCGACAAGAGATGAGCAGTGACTCCAGCACTGGTAACTTGCCTGTTTTGCCCAGTACTAGTACAGCACTGGATCATCCCCTGTGACACTAGCAACCAAACAGGTCTTCGGGCAGTGTCTGCAGCCAATCTAGTGCCCAGATTTTGTCCCACCTCTCAAAGCTCAGGGGCAAAATGTCTTTGGACAGGCTCGAGTAAAAAGATCACCCCTGTGGCCATTCCTGTTCGAGACCCTCGAAGTCGAATTCGAAACTGGGTGCCCCACGGGCATCTCACCGGTCGCGGGGCCGGGCCCACATCGCCCGCACGGGGCGACCCTCGATTTGGAGGCCCCTCGCCTGGCAAATACCAAGGGAACAATTGGCCCATGAATTGGTGCAGTCGTCTGGTTGGTTGAACTCCTCATTTCCCAAAACAAGGATGACAAAAGCTTGCCTGGTTGACCCGTTAGCCGGGCTAAGTGCACAGCGCTTGTGATGTCGCAAACGATCCTGAGCTTCATCGTTGCATCGCGGTGGTCAGCCAATAATCTAAAATCCCGTATGATCGTCTTGCGGGTCCCTCGCTTTCTTGCTGATGTTTGTGTAGACGCTGACCACTACTTCATGAGTGTGTGAAGAGCTTTTGCCTTATGCGTCCTTATTCGCCTGATTCAGCAATTCGTTAGTTCATTCCTTTAATTCATTGTCCACTGATTGTTCAAGTCGGTTCATGTGCTCATTTTCGTCTCTCATTCCATTCCATTCCATCCCATCCCATCCCATCTCATTGCATGCCCTGCTTCCCCATTCCATCCCACTCAATTTGACTCCCATCCCTCTCCATCCCTTCCCATCCCCTCTCTTCCCTTCTTTTCACATCCCTTCCTTTCTGTTCCATTCCATGACTCGGGTGCAGTGTTTTCTCATCAATATCATCATAGTCAACAACACTCCTTCAAATCCAGTCATGCTCCTTCATAGCCCACATCACATTTTTGTAATTGATGCCCTACATTCCCAGCCCCTTTTTCCAGTCCGCCTGTTCCACCAGCCACTTGGCGTCCGCATAGTTCCGGAGCCGCAGCATGCAGCTCCCGTCGTTCTCCTGGCCCCGGCGCCCGTGCCGCACCGTGAGGCCGCCCTCCGCGCCGCCTCGGACCGGAGCGGAGCGCTCCGAGCGGCGCGAGCGGAGTGGTGGTGCCCGGTTTTGGGCCTGTTGGGATGGAAGCAAAGGCCAGAACCTCACCCCAGGTCTTTATTTCCCTCCCCCAGACTAGAGAGGGAAGCTCCCAGGGTGCATTTGCAGAGCTTCCCAAATGGGGGGAGATTCCGCCTCATAGTGCCAGGTAGCCAAATGAGGAAATGGAGGCCTCAAAACTGGGCATACCGAGGTGCATGTCACAAGAAAGCCAACATAAGACCTGGCAAAAAAACACATATTCGTAAATGTGCCAACAAGAAACGGCTGACCGGAATAAAAGCGGGGTATGCAAGCAGGTTGAGAATTCGGGGCCCTCTAAATGATTGGATTCCAGCTACAATCATCCACCAAAAGGTGCCAAATGATGGCACAAGCCCGTAGCGAGCTGCGGGTTTGGTGTCAGCTTTTCAAACCTGACCATCCGCAAGGATTTTGAGAGCCGAGGGAAATTCAAGTGTGACGGAAACTGGTATTTGCTCTACAGGAACATCAAAGTCAAACACCACATGGCCATGGCTCAAAATCCAAATCCTACAGCCAGTGAACATCCGATTCAATCCCCACTGAAATAGGTTCTAACCTGGGTGAATTCACCTACCCCAACATGGGATCCCATTGGTTTTGACCCGTTTTCCCCGCGTGAGGTTGGAGCTGCCACTCGCGCGACCCTTCGCCCATGCCGCCCGGCGGTGGAGCTGACTCTCCGGGTCGAACTTCAAGCCTGGCCCAGCCCAAGGAAGCGACGAACATGGGCTGGTCCTTTTTTTTGAGGGCACTCCGTTGCCATGGCACCCGCCAAGTTTCCTTCCGAAGGAAACTGATCTTCCAGGTGCCTCCCCACAGGTGCCATGCTAGTAGGAGGAAGGGTACCCTCTTTGTGGTTGTGTTAAAGGGAAACCCTCTCAGGTCCTGCTTTCTGAAAACACCTTTGCAACGAACACTCGGCTCGCAAGCTTCTCTCACGGGCCCTAAGGCTGAGCATCCTGAGGGACTGCCCTCATTTTGGTTTCAAAAAGAACCGCAGTACTCGAGAGTCACGAGGAAAGGAATCTGATTGAATCATTTCCAGGCCAAACCAAGAACAAGTTTGCACAGGCGGGGGCAACGACGCCTTTGGGATGTAAAATAAGACACTCTTCTCGCATCTGCCAAGGAGGATTGAAGCAAACAGGATCCCCATAAATTTTCCCTACTGGCCAAACGTTTGGCTTTCGGCTCTTCTACGCCGAAGTCTCTGAACACCAGTCTTGCGTTTCAAGCCCGGCGCGCCATCTCTCTGCCAGAGCCGCCGCAGCAAGTCCAAGACCTGACGTGCGCCCGATCGGTGAGGCACCATTGAAGAGTTGCTCCAAACTCCAACCCAAAACTGAAGCCAGGGTCAACATTCATCCCGTATCACTTGTCTCTGGACTCACGGTGATGCGCATGTGTGTGTGTGTATATATATATATACATGGTCCCGTGTTCCGTGTTGCTACCCCCCCCCCCCATATCGTATGGGTCCTCCAGGACCCCCCCCCCCCCGCCCGAGACCCGGAGACCCCCGATCCTGGCACCTACAGTCCCACCCCCTCGCACCCCGACACCCCGGCACCCCCACCCCTAGAACAAGCCAACCCGCAACCAACCATAAACCAACCCTAAACTAACCCTGAACCAACCCTAAATACACCCTAAACCAAACCCTAAACCGTAGACCTCTAAACCTAAACCAACCCTAAACCAACCCTAAATACACCCTAAACCAAACCCTAAACCGTAGACCTCTAAACCTAAACCAACCCTAAACCAACCCTAAATACACCCTAAACCAAGCCCTAAACCGTAGACCTCTAAACCTAAACCAACCCTAAACTAACCCTAAACCAACCCTAAACCAAACCCTAAACCAAACCCTAAACCAAACCCTAAACCGTACACCTCTTAACCCTAAACCAACCCTAAACCAACCCTAAATCAACGTAAGCCAACCCTAAACCAACCCTAAACTAACCCTAAATACACCCTAAATATACCCTAAACCAATTCTAAACCAACCCTAAACCACCACAACCCAACCACAGGACCACAACCACAGGGGGGGTACTTGTCTGACCCGTGTCCATGGGGGGGGGGGGGGGCTGGCAACGCTGTACCATAAATATGTGTATATATATATATATATATAACATGATGAATGTGGTCACTTGCTCAAATGCTGCCAAGTATGTCCCATGGTCAAGGTTGCAAATATTTCAACAAGCTTCACACACTCTTCAGAAGTGCTGAGCTTCCAGCTTCACTGCGCACCATATGCCTTGGTGTGCCATTGTAGCAAGCGAGCTGAAACCCGGCAGTACACTCGTGAAAGGGAAACATCATGAGGGACCAAGGCCGAAGAGCCGCTTGTCAAGTGGGAATTCACTTGTTCCACTAGGCGAGGCGATGCAGATCAGTTCTAAGAGCCATTGAAAATGATCTGGCACCCTGACCGAGGACTTCCATGCTGGCAATCCTTGATTTCCCATGGTCTTTTCCTAAAGCACTTGAAGCAAAAGATGACACAAAAGAACTGGCCTTCTTTTGGGACTGTCGCGAAAGGAAAGCGATATGAAACCGACCAGCCTAGCTTTGACACGCCTGCTATTCGAAAAACTGGCAAGAAGACTAGACCTCTGACCCATTCGCCGAATAAGGCAGCTGCTCGCTACCTTTGCCAACCGCGCACCCAAATGCACCTCCTGTAAAAAGAACACAATTGTTTACGGTCCCACAGTTCCAGCTCCAAGCTGAGTGTTGCCAACATCGTACCAAGGTAAACTCAGAGTGCCTCCACGATCCCCGAATCAACTGGTTGCAAAAGGCGCGGAATAATTACACTGAATCTCAAAACTGAGGAAACCGACACTGGCAGATTCTGCGCAAAGCCCGTCAAAATGACACTCCTGCCGGGCTGCAGGTCCGATTCTCGCTTTGCCGATCCGCATGAAACACTCGAGATCCCCACGAAAAGTGTCATTCACGACTTGTGAGCCGGATTGAGCCGGGCTATGGGGTTCAGGTAGGGTAGCTATGTCCAATTGCAAGTTCAAAAATGGCAATGATAACTTTATGAAACACCTGCCCGTTGAAACAACCGATTGCTCTCAACGAGCCCACCTTGGTCCAGCTTGAGGGCGATACTCAGAGCAACACGGAGAAGGCACAGCAGCCGATACGCTTCCCAGTTCGAGTTGAAACTCCCTTCAAGTGAACCCTGCAGGCATACAGTACATGTGTATAGATGTGTCTATGTATGTGTGTATGTGTGTGTGTATGTCTGTCTGTCTGTCTGTCTGTCCGTCCGTCTGTCTGCCTGTCTGTATGTATGTACGTACGTTTGTATGAATGAATGTACGTGTGTAGGTATATATGTATGTACGTATGTACGCATGTACATACATGTAAGTCATGTATATGTACCGTACATGTACATGTACATCTAAACATACATATACATAATACATGTACACCTGTGCATCTGCATTGACAGAGACATAGACATGGGCAAAGTCGCACATATACACATACACATATACGTATACATATATGTGTACCTATACATACACATAGACATATGCATATACATATACGTATACACAAATGCATATGCATATGCATCCATACATGTGTATATATATATATATACCTATGCGTCTGCTGTCATTGACATGTACATCCGTCTGAGGGGACATGTCAAATTACATGCCGCGTGCAATAGGAAAACAAACTACAGCCGCCGTCACAGAATGAAACAGATTGCAATGGTCGGATGAGCCTCTCCGCCCTGAGCAGAGAGACAGAATGACTATCACTTCACAAGTGCTGTGCGATACTGTCCGCATGTCACTTGCAATCCGACGTTCATTGAGAAACGGCAAATGCACAAATAGCCCGTCAATCTTAAAGTCTTATCACCTTCGATGGGTCCTAAGGCGTCTGCAGGGTTGCCAGGGGAATGTGCCGAACACATGCACAAGGCTCTTCTTGAGTAGGCAAGTCCCACCAGTCAAAAATGAACAGCCAGTCTAGCACAGAATTGGAGTCAAGCGAAGTGTCCAATGCCAAAACTGAAGCTCGTTTCCGGATCACCTGGGAGGGAGAAGCATGGCGCGGGACCGGCACTCGCTCTGCTCCTGTTCTGCGGAGGGTGCAGATTGTTCCGCCCGCTCGGAATGGCATCTTCCGGCTTCCTGGCGAGGCGCTTGGCGCTCGCGCTCGACCAACCCCGAAGCTTGAACTCTGAACATGTGGAGTCTAATTCAAAATACGGTACCGAAATGAAGTGAGGCTGGAAAACTTAGTCAATTCCCCAATGTCCCTCCCAAAATGACCATAGACACTGACCGAATTGGGTCTCACGCTGCTTGATGCAGCTCGAAAACTATGCACCGCCCGCCGGCTTTAAGTAAGTTGTGAAAGGTAATTGACTTGATCCGATTGGCTTAAAGCAACTGCCTGAGGGCTGATTCAAGCCAACTCCCTGGTGCTCATGTCGGTGCTCACTGCCCAGGAGTCATGTTCGTTTGATCCGGGTGTTGATTGGCTGTCAGGGTCTGGCATGGAGAAAGCTCTGGTAGCATCTCAGTGCCACAGAACCATAGCTTGATGTTTGAATGCCAATGGCCCACAGCTGGGGCAAAGCTTGCCATGTTTGGCAGAAGTGGGAAGGGCTCAAAAACAACTTTAGTTCGTAGCGCATCTGGACTTTTAGCTTTTCCCTTGACCCCAAGAAGCTGCTGCGCTATGAATAATCATCCCCGAAGAGCAACTTGTCCGCTATAGGTAGTCAACCCCAGATGCGAAAACCGCCAAATCACCCATCAGCTATCCCCCTTCAACCTCTTTCCACGTCACTGGCGACCGTTAGAATGTGTACATATATATATATTATAGGGAGAGAGAGATCCACTCTTAGCGGTCCGGGGGCCAGCCCAAGTAAAACTAACACTTGCTACTGATTCCTGATTATTGCTTGTCCCTTGAACAAAGGATGTCGACAAACCACCAGAGGCTGTAAATGCTCGCTGGGGGGGAGAACACAAGAAAAACAAAACCCCATTCAAACAACAAAAAACAATGCATGAAGCCGCAACCAAAACGAAGGCACACTCAAGCGTTGCCTCTCGGCGATGGCATGGCTGCAGGAGCGTCTAGTGCCAACCTGGGCGCGTGAGCGACACATGAGCCGCACCTCTATGTCTTGGTGCTTCATGCGGGTGTGTCCTAACATGGAAAACGGAGCCCCAACTCCTTGTCTCATGGTTTTCCCTGGAGACGCCCTCCAAAAGCGGTCACCTGCTTCTGTGCAACTGCCGTTTGCTGGGTGGTGATGGTCATTGAATCATTGCTGTTGCCTGCGGTTGGCTGCGTTTGATTGAAGCAGTTGCTTCACGTCAGTGCCTCAACCTTGCTTCAACTCAGACGGCGGCAGTGTCATAGGAGAGCTGGGAAGATGCATCCGTGTCGGCCTTCAAGCGCCAAGTAGGGTGACACTAAAGTTCCAACCTTCTTTTCCCGTGCCATGACACATCAGTGGCGATGCCAACAGGGCTCGGGACGACTCAGAGACCGGTGAGTTCTGGCCGAATGGAGGGCCAAGGTGAGCTGTCACCGACCTTTTGAACCTCTTTCAAAACGGGATCGAAGGCCAATTGGGTCGGAAAGGGCCTTGCACATGCCACCAATTGGGCCGTCGCAAATGGTAAACCCAAAGTGAGACAACCTCAGACAACCTCGGCTTGCCATCGCATGCTCAATTTCTGCCCCGCGCGCGCACACACACACACACACCGCCTGCTCCACTGCTCGTCGACTGGTGTTTGATCTCTTCCGGGGCAGGTTGGGGTTCCATCACCACAGAAATTTGCGGGCGGCAAATTCCTATGGGCCTTGTAGCGCAACCGCCGCCAATCCACCGGCGGTGGCAAGGGCATCCATTCCTCGCGAGTTGGCCATCATCCGCGATGCCAGGAGTCATGTAATCATATAATCCCCTCGTATGACCTGGGGGACAACAATGTTGAATGGGTATTTCTCCCCAATTTACATGGAACCTGACGTTTGGGGGTCCCTTTAAAAGAAAGATGGTCTTCCAGGACCCCCCTGTCAGAATCCATGTGAATTGGTGGGAGGGTACAAGTTTGCGGGTCGTGCCCCCTTGTGGACCAAACAACTCCTTCCTCGGGCATGCCAGCAAGATCCAAAAAGCAAGGCAGCTTGCAACAGGTCAGGTGACGCCGTATTATCCCTGGTAATCAAACATTTGTTTAACGTAAATGCAACAAAGCGCTCCAATTTCGTCGAAAGAACGGAATACACGGCAATATTCCGTTTGGCTTCCCCCTACAATCAACCATTGGGGGGTCCCATTCATGGCATATCAATTGAGGAACCCCCATCGAGCGGCTCGGCAAGAACACCGATGGGTCCACATTTGAGACCTGCCCGTTTGTCTGCAAAAGTACTCTGGTAAACACCACACTCACTAGGCAACTGGGCAGCAATGTCTGAATTGAACTGCAACTCCCGCGCTTGGCCAGCGAAAGCATGGGCATCCAGCGCAGTAACAACCAGAGGCACGCAAATGATTGGGGATCCAGCTTCAATGCTGCCGGCTTTCGGAGGGGCGCTCAACAACCCTGCGTAAAGGAGGCGATGATCAGCCCTCCGACTGCGCAAGGAAGACAACGCTACCCAGAATGCAATCAAGGCTCCGCATGAAGCACTCGTCCACGGATGGACATGGTTTCAGCCTGAAGGGACAGGGTAAGCTGGCCCCATTGAGAGAGCAGCGAGGCACAAGCCGATTGACATTTGTGGCATATGAGAGCTTCCAGGCTGTCAATCAGCTACACTTAGAGGGCCCATCGCTTAGCCTCTCCATAGACGGATTCGATGAAAAGGTCTGGCTGAGTTCCAATAGTTCAAAACAGCTCGCCCCACATCTCTTGCCAAACCAACGGAGTCTGACATCGGGGCACCCGAAAAAGGAGAAACTCTGGTTCATTCAGCAGCCAGTGTTGTCAAGCAGCAACTTATGCATGTCATGTGCAAAATCATCCGATGGCGATCTCAGTGTCCTTTCCTGAGCTGTGAAAAGCACTGCTCCTTTCGGTGGAAAACCAATCCGAGATCGTTCGGCTTTGCCGGGCCCTGGGCCACCCGCAACAAAGTCTTGCGGGAGACCCGCAACCAACTGACCGGGACCCCAGTTTTTGGGACTACACCAGTGTTGTCCCTACGCCGTATAACTACCAGCGAATCTCTCTGTGGTTCTTGAATGCGCCGGCCAGTGCCTGTCACTTGGCAATACCAAAAGGAATCAGCAGACCGTGGGCTGTGTTGGACTCTGGTGTCATTCTGTCTGCGCACCCTTTAGGAAGCTCCAAAAAGGGGGTGTGATGAATGAAACCCCCACCCTAATGCCCATGGAAGGTGGGAAATGATGCATGCTCCAACTTCTTTGGGTTGCGTCATACAAAGCTGTTCTAAATCTCGGCAAGATGACCATCCTCACCCCCGTGTCCATCGTGCTCAAGAAGGGAGGGATTTTCGCCTGGTTTTGAATACATTTCGTGGGCTGGTTCCCAGCCCCAGAACTGCCCTTGACGCTCCGGCACTTGTCCAGTTGGCAGGCTGCCGCTGGTCTACCAGCCACTGGGCGTCCTTCGACAGACTGGTGGATCCTACTCGCTGGCCATGCTTCCTGCAGTGAAGCAATGACTTGGGTGTCTCTTGTGTGGTTTTCCCTGTGGCTTTTCTGTAGAGCCACCAAAAAAGGAGTGCCCCCAAAAAGAACACGTTGGCCGCGCCTCTGCTTTCAGTGACCAAACCGTGGCAGAACCACTTGCATGGGAGAAACATGCCTTCCGGAATGGCCATTTACCGGTCCTGTGAAGGAACCCCAAATGCGGGGGCTTTTCGCAAAAGCATCGCGCCCATCCGCGCCTGGGGCCGGTGAAATTGGACCGAAGCCTGGGCTCCGGCGACGTGCGATCCAAGTCCCTACAAGTAGAGCTGACCTCAATTTCAGCACGTTTCAGCGACGAAGCCCATTGCGAAAGTGCTCCATTCTGTGGCATTTCTCATTGGACATAGGACCCGTTGGCAGAGAATTGAGCTTGCACGGGCAATCTCCGATCCTTGTTGGCTCCTGGAAAGTCCGCTCTACCGTCGAAGAGAGATATCAGGATCTTGCCATTGGCCGGATGGTGCTTTGGGTTTCGTTTCGAGTGGGGAAATGCTGGTTCAAAGGATTGCGCCAAACGGAATTCTGCCTGCACACCGACCAGGCTGAAGCAAAACAGTTGAAACTGTTTGCCAAGTGCCTGTCTTCACCCCTTGCCAAGTGTTTTTTTGGCGGACCATATTGTTTGTCACGCCCTTATGTGGATAGAATGAAGGTGCAACAGCTTCTCTCGTGAGCACTCACATCTACAACTTGACAACACGGGCCTGTTTCTCTAGCCGGGAAAGACCCTCACCGAACCTCGCCCATGGCTGCAACCCCTCCCTGCCAACGGGGCCGGCCTCGGTGCCTGCAGCACGCGCCCGGTTGCTGGCCACCTCGGCTGGCTCCCTGCGACTGGCTGTTCGAGACCATGCAAACTGCTTTCTGCAGTGGCTTGCAATCGGTTTCTAGGTCCTCCTGTCGAGAGGTTAGAATAAGGGTACCCTTTTTTCCGTAGTCTATTTTAGTAGGGGAACCCTCCCCCAAAAAAAGGGCAAAAGGGCACTACTGGGGGACCTAGGCTGCTCTTCGTTTCGCTTTTGTGGTCTAAACCGAACTCATAAGTGACCGAAAACCTCAGCACTCCGAATGCCTGCCTGCGATAAGCCAGACTTCTCTCCGAAAAAAACGGCCCCATGTCTCAGGTGCTCAAGCTCCCGGACTGAGGCCAGCGCTGACTCGTCTTGGTGCTCGGCAATTGAGATTGACTCAATGAGCGGTGGAGCGCCTTCAGCCGGAGCTCTCTGGAATCTGGAAAAACAAAGTTTCCCCGGATACGACTGGAGCTGCAGTTGGCGGGAACGGTTCAGATTCGGTTCAGCATTGGTGAGTTCTATTTTGCACTGGACAACGAGGGGTCTGGAGAAATGCGTTTAGGTAGGAGGATGTGATTAACATTTCGACAGCTGACTTCCAGTTCAGCACACTTCCATTGGCCAACAAGACCAGCCAATCCCTACCGTGGATGGACGAAATCCATTTCGCACCACCTCAGATACCCTGCATCAATGATTCCCCTGCAAATACCAACACATGTTATGATTTCAACCATGGTGTCCAAGTGGTGCGAAGGGATTTTGCAACCATCCACAGTTTGCGCTTTGGCATCCAGGCGATTCAAGACCACCCGCCAAAGCCGTGACACCTCCTCCCGGATGGCGTCCTGGTCTCGTCGCTAGTGCAACCCGACGCCCCACGCCGACTGAATCGTAAGCTGGATGCGCCCGTTGTTCTTTTTGTGGCACCCCTTTTCTTCATTGTGCAGGGAAACCAAAATAAAACCACCATGGTTGGTGGTCCTTAAAAAAGCACTAACACCCAGCTGTCGCCGGGGGGCCAACAGAGTTGCAAGGAGGGATAGCGACAAGATTCCAGCTGACAAACTCGGCCGCGTAACACGCCAAGATATTCTACGCAGAATTTGCCCAGTGGCAAGCCGCAGTGAGTTCCCAAGGCCACCGTGGGCCATGATGCTCCCTTGGGAAGTTTCTCGTAAAAAAAAATGGGTGACAAACTTTTACAGCAACAAATCCCTCTGTTCGGGAAATGGAACCCCTGAATAAGAGCCAGGTGGAAAATGAAAAGCCCCTTTGCGTCCCTTGCCTCATGGCCGACAAGCTAAGCTCAACAGCCTGCCTTGCATCAAACCAATGCCCAGTCAAATGAGATACTATAGCAAGCATGTATCAAGCATCACTCAACCACTTCCAGTAACTGCAGCCTCTCAAACATTCATCTAACCCAGTTTGCTCTCTGTCCTTGAGTTCCTCCGCCGGTCTCAAGGGCAAGTTCCTGCAAGAACGCATGTCACCAAGTTTCTGGGTCGCAAAAATGTCATTTGACGAAGAATATCGCGGAAAAGGCAGAAACATGTCCATTACCTCAGTCATGATTGGGATTGGCGTGCTACCCTGCCTTCTGGTAGCTCTGTTATGCGTGCAACAAGTGGCCGATGTTGCTCCGCAACTGTGGTGTGGAGGTGTTTCCTCCCGAAGCCCCAGAGCCCACACATTCATTATGCACCCCTTGAAACATATTTTATTTACAACAATCCCGCTGGCAAGTCTTGCCTTTATGCAGCCGAGCGGTCTGTGTCATCCATGAGAACGTCAAGCTCAGTTTCAAGCGATAGCATCCGCCACTGAAAGCCTGACAGTGGAATATCGAATGAAGAATGGCCCTTGCTACACCACAAACGAAGGCCGGATAAAAGTTGATCTCATCCACGGTTTCCAGTGCCCCTTGAACTTGAAGTCATATGCAGTTGACACAAAGAGTCGAGTAGGTGCTGTAGACGTCAAAAGTTGTAGCACTTGGGCCTTTGGTCATCGACACTTCAGCCAGCGGTCTAGTCACGCCCCCGAGTCCTGATTCTCACTTCGCGTCGACCTGTGCGAGTCCACTCAGCTGAGGTGAGGCCAGGAATTTCGTCTTCAGATTTCGGCTTGGGGGGGGAGGAGATGCGTCTTCGGAATTGTCTTGGGAGGCCGCAAACTACAAAGGCAGAACATGCCGCAAGTAGTTTCGCAACAAGTGTCGCTGAGAAGAAAGGCCAAGGCGCCTACAAAAAGCAGGTTGCCCGACGCTCACCGAGCAGTTCGGGACCATTCGCGAATCCCCTCCCATTGAAATAGACACATCCGAGCCCCTTCAAGGCTGCCACCAAGCGGATGCTAAAGGATGAGCCACGCCTGATGGCGACACTGGTGCGGACCAGGGCTCCACGTCGCCCGGCTCCAAGCTCTCGCCTCGGGGGAGACTCACTTTTTGCGCGCGCGACATGCGGGCGGCGCTCGCTTCCCGAAACGGGAGTCGGGGCCAGGGTCGACACCTCTGGGACTGCGAAGGGTCCAAGTTCGGGCACGACTTTGGAAGCTGAGCGCGGGCTCTTTCGCTGGGGGCCGAGGCGGCATGGGGAGGCGAAAGCCATGTGGGGCCATGTGACTCAAAGCAGCGGTGACAAGGTTCGGACAGATTTGTATTGGATGCAGTGGGACTGCACCTCTCCCACACCCCTCTGCCTCTCTCTGGGAGCGTGGCTTTCGTCTGCCCAGCTCGTGATATGGTCGGTGGGTAGAGACAAGGAGCCTGCGAGAGCCATATTTCGCTTGAGTTCTGATCTGCTTCGCGTCAAGAACAGGAAAGCCTGGACCGAAACGGGCCAAGCAACAGCTTCAGCGCACGCCCGCGCTGCAAACGCGGGCGCGCACCGGAGGCAGGGGGCACTGTGGCTGGAAACCAGAGATTGGCCAAGGCGCAAATACCCAGAAGATGATCAGTCGGATCTAGATCGCACACCCAAATCCCGCGTGGGTTTTTTGCCGAGCCCCGCTTTCCGGCGACCGGAGAAATCGAATAGGCACGGAGCATCGAAACGTGAATCTCCCAGCTGAGCAATCTGAGTGGCGGCAAATCGCAAACCTCCCGCCTTGGCAAAGCGGAGCGCCTGCGGAGGGCGAACGTGAAGCGCTCTGGGCGAACCAAGCCTTTCTTTTGGTAGCAAAACGAAGGGGTGCGGCTGACTTCTATTTTCCCTCGCACAAGCCAACTCAAAATGGTGAAGCGGACCCTTTTCAACCTGGTAGCATCACATGGAAATGGTCCAACTGCCTCGCTGCGGCGCTTGCACTTGTGGGACAGGATGTGTGGAATCGGCAAGATGGAATCGAGGGTTTCCTTTTGTCAGCCCTGTGCGTTCTGGACATGCACGTAAAGATGATGTCGTAAATAGCCCAGCTGGCTGCTGCAGCTGCAGATATAGAACGGGCCACAGCAGATTTTTGTCAAGTTGATACTTGCCAGAATGATCGCCGGCCTTTTCAAGTGCAAGGCCCATTTGAGACTGCATCTGACTCTCGCAGCCTTTCAGCTTACCCTTTAGCTCATCCGGAATTCAATGTGCGAAGGCGACGAAAGCTTCCCTTTCCTGTGCATCGTTTAGAGGAAGGTCCGGTGTCAGACTCTCCGCCTGGATCCGTGATCTCTGCATCGGTTCTGGATGCCTGCGCTGAGCAAATCCACTGGGGTCCCCGGAGTCACATGTTGCATCCTTTAGGGTGGTTGGCTTCTGGAAAAGGAAGAACGTATGGCTCAGGGGCTCAGGGCTCCGGTAAATCGCAACAGTTCTTGGGCAACCATTCGCTTGGTGTGTCCAGCACGCGTGCCAATATAAGCCTCCTTGCTCTTGCATGGAGCATGGTCATATAGGTGTGGGGCCCGCAGGTTTTAGTCCATGTTTCCATTTACCAAGGTTCCATTTTGGGTATCAAGCCTTCAAGTCAAGCCCGCATCTAGCTCAGATCATGGCATGGGCCGTTTCGCCTCAAACCCAGCTGAAGGTCCCAGAGAAAAGCTCGTGGCTTGCCTGGGTGAGCTCGCTGCTGGTGCGCTTGGGTATCTCCGGCTTCACCTGAAGTTGTGGCTAAAGTGCAAGAATGTGCAAGGATCGAGGCTTGGTTTGTAGGAAGTTCACGGGACAAAGAGAATGGCTTCAGGGATGCAATGGATCTGAATGGTTCAAAAAGGATTCATTCTCAAACTCCTAGCACATAGAGTGATCTCCTTTCTCAGCAACACTTCTCGCCCGCAAAGTGCAATTATCATTGGCCCAAGCCAACCGCCAAAGCAGAGCCTGTGACTCGGTGGAATGCCAAAATGGAACTTTGATAATGCTTTGAGTGCAGGGGTTAGCCCCAACTCAAAAAAACACAGAGACTGAGTCAAAAGCGCGCAAATGCTGAGAAGAACTCTCATTTCCCTCTCTATTGCGGATTCATGTTCGCCGGCACATTGACTGAAGCACCAGCTACCTGGAATCCAGTCGGGTCAGCGGCAAAAATGGTCTGAGACAAAGTTTGAATGAGTTGCTGCAAATGAAACCAAGCGTGAGTTGGCGAAACCCTTGGAACAAGCAACGATCCATCTGATGACCTCAACCGAAGAAGCTTCAAGATTGGTGTCTTTTTGTCTGTCCCGCCGCAAACTGTTGCACTTACGGGAATGCAAAGGCTTGAGGACTGACTCTGCGAGTGCTTGGGATGTGACAAGGCTTTCAGGCCAGTATTGCAGCAGTCCAGGGATGGCAGCAAGTAGATACTGAATTTGAGAGATGCTGGACGAAAGCATGCAAAGCCGATGCACAACACACGCGCAAACACACAGACACACACACACACACACGCACACACACACACACACACACACACACACACACACACACACACACACACACACACACACACACACACACACACACACACACACGCACACGCACACGCACGCACGCACGCACGCACGCACGCACGCACGCACGCACGCACGCACGCACGCACGCACGCACGCACGCACGCACGCACGCACGCACGCACGCACGCACGCACGCACGCACACGCACACGCACACGCACACGCACACGCACACGCACACGCACACGCACACGCACACAATGCAGGAGAGGCCCAAAAAAGCGGAAACACCAGGAGGCTCTCGAGCCAGCGACAACGAAATTCAATAAAAAGCAAAAGTCAATCCGCCGAATCCATCGCACAGGCCCCTTGCCACCAGCCCCCCACCCACCCACCCACCGCCTCGCGCCCGCGGCCCTTGGCCGCCGAGGAGCTGCGGCCTTGCAACGTGGCCGCTGGTCGCTTTTGGGGGGTGCCAGGTGGCGGCGAGTCGGAGGGTGCAGTCTTGCAAACCCCACGGAAGCACTCGACACCTAAGCACGAAAGAACGCCTCATGACAAACCGCGAGGGTCTTCCAGCTTGAGACAAACAGTCCCATGTCACCTGTCCACCCCCGCCTCTGGCGTCGCTGGCCCCGCGCTCGGACTCAGCCTCCATCCTTGGCAAAGCTCGGCCCCCAGGCTCGGGCTCTGACCGGGGCCGATGTTCGCTTTCAAGTGACAGAAGAAACTTCCCGCATGTGTGTGTGTGTGTGTGTGCGTCTCTCTGTGTATATTGTGTATACTGTATATGTATATGTGTTGACAGGAAACAAGCCCAGAGGAAGTTTCTTTACATCCTGTTTTGGGGAAAAAAGAAGACGGAACAGTTGAGGCTGGGGCACTGCAGGGCTGTGAGTCTGATGGTAGGAAGGAGTGGATTCTGTTGATGAGGAAACTGTTCGAAGAGCTCGTCTTACCTCTCAAGTCAAGTCCAGAGTAATGATGCCCTCAGTGCGTCCAAGTCTGGATAACGTTCCGCGCTCAGAATGCGGGCCATGTCTATCCTTTCATATTCCCCTGCCCCAGCGGCCCTCGCCCAAGCACCGTGCTTATCCTCCAGGATGGATCGAAGAATGTGCGACCTCGGCTCGCATGCTTCACCCTTTCCATCCTGCATCGTGCATTGGTTTGCATGTGTTGTTCTTGTGCTGCCACGGGGAGCATTTCCGAGAAGCAGCTTGGCTCAAACATGAGTGCGGACTCCGGAGAATCTCGTTGCTCTCCCAGCTTCTCAGAGCCTGCACCTCCCAATGATGAATGGCATCATTTATTGATTCTGTTTACACAGTTCTGTCTTTGTTGTGTCGTCTTTGTCTAGTACTATTTATGCCTTCTCTTTCCTCACTCCACGGTCCTCTTGTTTCGGCCATCGGTCTCTTTCTTGTTCATCGTGTAGGCGTTTGTTGTCACCTCTTCGTAGTGCTTATAGGTCCTTTGTCAGTTCGTCTTTCTCCTTCATTATGATTATCTATGGATTGTCTCGTGCTTCTTGCTAAATCCTTTTCTGCTCGCTCGTCTCTTCTATGGCTGTGGGTCAAACATAGGTACCCAAGAATCCTAGCTTTTGACCCATACCCACATGGCAATGGGTCAAAATCCCGTAACCCCCAGTGAACATCCCAATCCCCACTAAAAAAGACTAAAATGGTGGTGCAACCTAATGTTGGCACTTGATTAATAAACTGGACTATAATAATGGAAAGTGTTTCCCTTATTCTGCTTCGCACCCATTGTTGAGGGGGACCAGAATAATTGAGTTTTTGTTTGCCCGCGAGAAGATTCAAAACAAAATCCACAAATCAATTTTAATTTAAAAAACCATCCCCCCCCCCCAAACAACCAAACAATCACCCAAAATCCATGTTGACTCAAAATCAATTGGTTGCTCAACCACAGAACCCAAAGCCAGCTGTTCCCTCTGAAATTTGAAAACCATCCCCAGCCCTGAAACTGCAAACTCTTTATTAAACCGTTAAAACAAAAGAAAAAACAAGGGTACCCCTCACAGACCCCACTGAACCACAATAATGTCATTCTTTTAGGGACCACATTAGTTGCAAGCCCCCAGCCCCCCCCCAGAAAATAAACTATCAGTTGCTTTACTCAAAAGCATTCCCCTTTCAATTGGTGGGCCACTTGCTTAAAAGCATCCCCTTTCAATTGATGGCCCACTTGCTTAAAAGCATCCCCTTTCAATTGGTGGCACACCCCTTTCAATGGCTACAGAAAGAACTGAAAGGGAAGTGGTTGCAATACTAAAGTAGTATTCCAAAAAGTCTGCTCAGGAAGAAGTGGTTGCAATACTAAAGTAGTATTCCAAAAAGTCTGCTCAGGAAGAAGTGGTTGCAATACTAAAGTAGAATTGCAAAAAGGAAGTGGCTGCAATACTAAAGTAGAATTGGGCCCCAAAATCCTCCATTGTTTGGACGTCCCAAAAGTGAGCCCACATTATTTTGGCGCCTCCATTGTTCGGGGGGGGGACCTTTATTAATCAGGTTCCAACATTACCCCAAAATGGGATCCCATTGGTCTTGACCAAAAGCCATATGAGCAACCAGCGAAGTGAAGGATGGATACATGCACCTCTAATTGTGATTGACTGAAGCCATTCCCTTGGAGACCCCATGCGCGACACACCCTGGGTTCGCTTTCAGGATTCCTTTTGCGTTCTTGAAACGTGGCGAAAGCTTTTGTGAGCCCGGCGTGTCGCGCTTCAGCGCCCAGGGCGCCGGTGGGGAAGGCGCCGGCATCAGTGTCAGAAGGGGCGACCTCGGGGTCAAAGAAATCCGAAAACAAAAAATCCCAAAAGGCTCAAAGAAATGAATATGTTTGTATAGGAAGAAAAAAAAACAACAAAAGAACAGGGAAAAGAAGAAGAAAAAAGAAATCCGAAAACCTCGAACCAGGAGTCGGAGGGATGGGGCAATCTGGGGATGGTCACAGAGGGGCGGGGGTGCTATTGCACTCCACTGGCAGTATCCTTAGATGATGCAAATAAGCAATTTTGACGATTCAATGTTTCCGGAAGCTACTCAGAACGCACCCTGCCCAATCAATTGTGCCATCAAATCACCATGGCCCCTCACGTGAGCAGCTGGAACCTGAATGTAATGGCTTAAACTTGACGCATCTCCTGGAACTCCTGAAGCTTCCCAGGCATTGTCAAAACACTCAAGCCAAGCCGCTCCAAGGCAAACCGCAACAAACATCCAACATCCGGCGCCAGGCAAGCTCTGGGCAAGCGCGCTGTGCGCCCTGCTTCTGGGAGGAAGTTGCACCCTGCCCGGCCGCAAGCTGGACGCAATGAGTGGTCGTCGGTTCTAGCGACGCGTAAAATTCATGAAGGCAATCTCGCTCCCTCTCCCTCTCTGCGCTCTGTTCAGGATTAAAAAAGACTTGAATGGCAGAAATAGAAGGGCACCCCTAAAAAAGAAGGGCATCCCAACTGCAACGGAAGTTAGACATGCGTATTCATCACCTGAGTTTGCTGGTGTTGACTGGGAGTGTCCACTACCATTCTTGACATTGATATTCATCATGCACAAGGACGCTCCTTGAGAAGTTCAGATTCGCTCTGGGACGCCACATCGAAACAGTCGCTGGACCCCCGGCCTTGTAGCCCACGGGCGAAGGCTCGCCTAGGGCTGACGGAATCGGCAAAGTGACTTGCCACAAAAGCGTACCTGCGTGCCAGTGAGCCTTCTGTGCGCAGAAGGTGCAACTGGACTGGTTCAGTGACCTGTGTGCCAAATTGACAGGCATAGGTTCAATTACTTTCTGGGTCCATGGAAGCATGGCCAAAGAGTCTCCTGGCCCTCGGCAACCCACAAAGCGACACTGCAATGGGCCTGACAATCTCGATGACTATTCCTGGAAGCAGTGAAACAAACCAGCGTTCAATTCATAAAACCGCTTTTGTCATGCGTCACAATTCTGACGTGACATTGATGTGCACTTTGTGTAGGTTCCGTGCAAAGTCTTCTCATAGCTGTCCATGGTATCCTCACATCCTTCTCCACCATGATCACTCTCTTGAAGGTGTTGACGCCGGCGAATGTCAACCACACACTTTGGCCGCTGTCCACAACGGACCAAAGGGGTCCCATAATCTCAACTCAGGGCCTGAGAAAGCCTTGCAGGCTCAAAAGGGGCCATGGTGCTGGGTTACAAAAACATTGGTAACCGGGGACTTGACAAACATTGGATGTTGTGAAAGGAAAAGATGGTAAATCATGATCCACCGTCTCAGGTGAAGCATGGGGGTTTGTCAAGATCAGACCCCCATAAATCCCAAACACGCGAATGGCTTTCGTTTGGTGTAGGCAACAACAGTCCCCCCCCCAAAGAAAAGAAGGAGAAAAAAAAAATAATAATAATAATAATAATAGTAATAATAATAATACTAACAATAGTAAAAATAGTAATAATACTAATAATGATGATAATAGTGACAAAAGAAACTGACACACCTGCGTGCCTGCTCCCGAGCTCCGTGCCCTGGTTGTGCACTGTGCTGGGCGCCGTGTGCGTCCGCACCTGAGATAAGATGTGGATGACTCTTAGGGCCAAAGCACGCCATGTCTTGGCAGTGCCAACGTAGCTTGGGAATGGTGCATTTTGTTGCCTTCAGATCGAGAAACGGCGGCTGAACCTCTGAATTCTGAAAGCGAGGGCGACTCCTGGTGAATGTCCTCCGCTTGTCGGGGTCCCTCTTTTTATCCTTTCTGCACACCGGACCGATGTGTGCCAAGAATCACGCCCGGCCTTACCACAAGCTGCCGGAGGGAACTGAACAACTTTTTTGGGGGCAGTGCCAAGGAGTTGGGCCCCCTGAAGTGTTTGACATGTCGCAAGCTCCAACCCCGGTTCAATTTTCGCCCAACGGCCCCGGCCAGTGGCTCCACATCCTTTGGGATGCAGAACTCATAGAAGGTGTTCTTGATCCGCAGCTCCGGGCCTCGGCGAGTCAGCGAGTCGAATCGCTGCATCGCTCGTGACGGCTCGTGAGCATCGCCTGGAGACCTGCGCGCGCCGCGGAGCCCGCGTGAAGCGCTGATTTAGGCAAGCCGCAGAGCCAGCTAGAGCTGATTTAGGCAAGCCTGCGCCTGCAAATGATCCCCCCAACATAAAGCAAGCGCTCCTCGCACGGAACACGAAATTCGTCGGAACCGTTCACGTTCCACAGGAACTGCTTACGGAGAACCCCAGTAAGTGAAAGTCAAGCGAAGTGGCCAATGGGGCTGCCAGCCACAGTTGTGCAACTGCCATCATTCACCAACTGGAAATAAACGATCCGAAAGGAGTGACACATCATGTGTGCGTCATGACCCAGTCAGGCAAGATCGTTATCGGTGCAGAATGTGTCCTGCAACTGATCGCACTCCACAATGCCCTCTGGTTCGTGAGCATTCCAAGAGTGAACAAGGTTTCCGAGTCTTTTTCAGTCCCTCTCTCTCTGCCAACATGTACAAACGAAGCCAGGATGATACAGTGTGTGTGTGTGGTCATATTGCTAAGCGCAATCTGGATTGAACTCACGCAGCCAGCAATCCCAGCATACCATCACGTAGGCCATGGACATGCTGATGTATCAATCGCTTTGCATGCATCCTTTGTGGCGATGCTGACGAAATGCTGTGTGTCTTCATTTGCAAGGTCCCACGATTTCCAAATGGAAATGCATTGAACGCTACTCTCGACCAAAGGCTGCTGCCAGGGCCATCGTGATGCTCCCCTGTCTCATCGCTGTGCGGGCCTCTGCAGGGCAGTAAACTGTAGGGGCAAAGCGGAATGTGATTTGACTTACACATCAATCAGGTATAAAACCTCCAAATCTACAGCGAAAGCTGCTTCCCAAGCAGTGGAAGCAAGCTACGTGTTCTGCCACCGGGCACTAATGTTCATGTTACAGGATACCATGTCAAACTGAGGCGGAGAGATTTCAGGCAAACGAAAGGTTTTGCAGGCCTCGCCTCCCTCCTCCGAATGCTCCGACCTGCCGAGCGCATGCAAAATCACATGAGCCTCAGCTTGGGCTCACTCCACAAACGCAACCCGTCAACCCTGTCATCTGCCACTTTCGGTCGACTCCCTGAGTATGGCAACAAGGACCGAGTTCGCCAAAGTCTACCCTCTGCCGAACCGTGCCGCTGACTTTGCCGCTGACTTTGCCGCTGAGGCGCTCTGCACCTTTCTTGGTCCAAAGGCACGCTTGACTCCGAAGGCCGCGAGTTGACATCTTAGGTGCTGTGTCAACAAAAAAGCGGGTGCCTTGTTCCTAGCTGCATTTTTTGGGGAAAGGCTGCGAACGGTCTGGAGCCATGGGGGAAATGTCTGTCCCCTTGCCGCGCAAATTTTCAACCCAGTGCCCTGGCGACCAGATGTGAAAGCCGCAACCGGACCAACTCGCACGGTCCAAAAATGCGCTACACAGAAGAAAAAGGCGAAAGGCTTAGTGAAATTGCAAGCGTTGTGCAAAATCAAACTCATCCTTCGTTCCCTCTCCATTTGAAGCAGCATGAGCTCATGGTAAAATGGCAACATGGGATAAAGAACATGCTTCCCACAGCAAGAATCTTCGCAACACGCTCGGAGAAGCCCCTGCGTGTGGTGTATATCTGTATATCCCTACCACACAACTCGCTCCATCCAACGAGCCCCGAGCTACAGCCCCGCGCACCCCGCGCCCCCGCGCCCCCGCGCGCGCCCCCCGCGCCCCCGCGCGCCCCGCCCCCGCGCCCCCGCGCCCCGCCCCCCGCGCCCCCCGCCTGCGCTGGTTCTCATCCACGCTGTGCGCAATGGCCTCCAGCGCCCTGGTCCGATCCTTCGCGCGCAAACTAGCGCGCACTGGCCTCATGAGCCATATTCTTTTCCCGGAAGAGCCCCAAAAGACACGGCCGAGGCTTGCCCAAAACTCCGAGTCATCTTTGACACCGAGGAAGAAAAAACAAAAACATACAGCCTCCCAGCGGGCTCCACCACAAAGAGCCCGCTTCCCTTTTTTTTTGGGGGGCTCCCCTTTGTGGGCGGCAAAAGCCGCCTGTTCCGCCGTCAGCGCGGAGCGCAGCACCTCCTCAACGGCCGCCAGCTTCTCCTGGCACATCTCCCAATTCGTATCCGGCTCAGACGGAAAACATCTCAGGCACCCTTCGCAAAGCTTCGAGTCATGAACGGTAGGTCGAAAAGCGACCTACCAAAAAAAACACGCAATAGGTCGCTATAAGATGTCAGGGACAGGTTGTGAGCATCGCTAAACTTGACAATGAGTCATGGTCGCGTAGTCATATGCAGTAGAAAAGTTGCTAGAAGACCATCCATCAATGGAAGCTGTACAAGGACCCAGACAGAAACCCAGCCGACTCGCTGCGAGGCAACAGGACCTCAGGATGCCGACCCTCGAGCGGTTTTTGGGCTTCGCTTTTTGGACAACACCAGAGTTGGGACAAAGACAATAAATGAAAGACACCTTCATGCTGTTCCTAGTGTATGCTTTGGGTGTGAATGTTGTTGGTGGCTGGTTCATGTCCAATGTTCGAGTACGTTTGGTCCAAGTTCAAACCAGGCTTGCAACCCATCCCGCACCCCCCACCCCGCTCCAACCCCTCCCCATTCCTATCTTTGCCGCAGTGGGGCATGTGTTCGCCAATACGAGGTTTGCTTAGCACGGTTCAGGGAACTTCGAGAACTCATATTGGGCTATAAACATAATCAAATAATCAAAGTCTTTTGGCAGATCCTGCAAAAGAGACCTTGTCACGCCTTCTTTGTCGCCGGAAATTCCGATTCTTCCTACGATTGCATTCATCATCTCTTACCCACGCCTCCAAGCAAGAATAAAGATATGGCGTGGGAATGCATTTTGGTCGCTTCTAGAGTTTCAGAGCTACTATAGAGCAACCAATCCATTCCTATCTCTACATCCTCCATCTCCCACTTCCCCGATTCCCAGTTTATCAGATTGGTGGGGAAGAGCTTGTTGTTTCATAGTAGGAAACCACCAGGCTGCAAGGAGGCAGATATTTTGATTTCACACGAGCGTCACCGGAAACAAGAGTGTTATCAATCTGAAAGGCTGGGGGACACGACCCTTGGCCCGTTCACATTGCCTGTATTGCAGGGTTCAGGGACGGCGAACCTTGTTTGTTCTACCCCACCCTCCAAACTTGGCTCAAGAAGCAGCGGTATCACTTCAGATAAGCAGTCTGTCATCACGGGCATTTTCCTTCTTGGGGAGGAAAGGAGCCCTTGCTTTATTTGAATGGACACGAACAAAGGAACGAACAATGCCTACAAAAGCTTGCCGATTTCGGCGCTCGAACGGGCAACCCTGGCAACCCTCTTCTTTTATGCTTCCTTGCACTGAAGGTTGGGCACCTTAGCCTTCTCTTCACTTTGGAGAGATGCGGCCTAAAGCCCTGAACAAAGGCAACTGCTCCTTCCAATGTCTTTATCGGACAGAACGCAGGCACGGGATCTGCCTTGGACGAGCTTCAGAGCAATCAAGTGACACGAAACTTTTAGTACCCTGACACTGGTGACTGTCCATGCATCCTGCGAGGGATGGTCTGTGTGCAAACGTGAGACTATCCAGACCATAGTGTTTGAGCAAAGCCGGAGATGCTGAGCACCTCAAATCAGTCCCTCCTCCTCCTCCTTGTCCTCCTCCTTCTTGTCCTCCTCCCTCTTGCTGCAGCAACACGTTGCCCCAAGCCAGCACCAGGCATCCCAGCGACGCGAGCCTTCCTTCTGACTCTCTTAGAACATCGGGCCCTGCCGGTGCTGCAGCTCCGCGCTCCCAGATTTCCCGCGGGTGACACGCTCATCCAACAGGCGACGCAGCTCGCAGAGGCTGCAGATGCGTCTGCCTTAATCTCAAAGCCGAAAAGAAGCCAAAGGACCAGCTCTTCACGCTTCCAAAACACTCCCGGGCACCGCCGCAGGCCTAAGTGATCCAAACGCTCGCGGCATGAAGGCTGTCACTGGGGCGGCTGAGCTTAAACCGACCCAACTAATGGCCGCAAGCCACGTACGCAAGCCGAAGCAGGTGAAGCCGCACACCAAGGTGGGGACCGCTGACAGGTCGCTATCTGACATGTCTTCTGCGCAGCACGAATGACGGATCGGTGAGCTGCGCCAATGCAGCAATGGTCACCACCACCGAAATCACTCATGGCAGGCTCCTCACGGAAGGCTTGGAAAGAGAGCACTCTGGCACAGCTACCTTAGAATAGAACCCTGGCAGAAAGCCGGAGTAGATGTGTCTGAAAGACTCATGCACTGCCAACAAGCTGATGGTTTGCTTCAGACTTCACGGCTTCCTGGCCGACGGCCACCTCGCCAAGCAAAACCTCAAGTTGCGCTGCGGGGTTTCATGTTGACTCTCTCTTTTGGAAGACCAAGGCACCCCCCTTAAAGAAGGTTTCAACACGAGGTCTTCACACATCCAATCAGGCAGTTGGCTCAACCCGCCACTCCCATCGCTTCCAGCCACCCCCCGCACGCCGGCACCGGCAGCCCAAGCTCACCAAGCAATATCAACGCAGCAATGCGCACAACGACAGAAACCACTCCATTTGGCGAACGTGAGCACCAGGCATAGCGCTCTCACACAGCTTAGAAGACAGCTAAGAACGACAGCTTGAGTACCTGACTATGTGCGGGGCACCGTGCTTCTGCACCAGAAAGCTGAACTTGCCCCAAACTTTACTGCCCGCTCCGGAACGGCGGGGACGCCTTCAATCTGCTGTGTAGAGCAAGGGGCTGTCAGCCACACAGGCAGCTGGGAACTGCTCAAAGCAAAGTCTCAAGTAATGCCAAAGGGTTTGCCTTCCCTCAGGGAAATAAAGGCATTTGACCCAGCCACCCAACAGCGCCTAATGACAACTCAACGACTCACTGTGTGCAGCTCTGGCTCGGCTTTTGGGGCAAAATTGGCATGGGCCATGCAAACTGGGATCTTTGGGTCAGGCCGTTTTCCAGTGGTTCGCGGCTTACCCAACAAGTGAACCACCGCCTTCACATAAAATGAAGCCGATGTGCAGCAAAATGGGCTTTCAGGCAATATCGCATGCGCGGAGCGGCCAAGCACGGAAAAGAAGCACTCCGTGTTGCTTCTTTGCTTTAGGTCCTGCATCCAAGCTTGCCCTGCAGAAAAAGGACAGCTCTACTTGGCGCGATGCGCAATTCGGTGTGAACCAAGTTGCCGTAGTCTAAGCTGTCTTCCCAACAAGTATACCATGCTCGAATTTTGACCTTATCTTACTTGTAAGTTATATGTGAACTCTACATATCTTGAGGATATGTATAATTCCATGTGTAAGTCCGCTAAGTCCAAAATGCGCTCCTTTTAAAATCGTTTTTCAAAGTTTGCTTGAGGCGCGCTCAAGATGAGAGAATAGCATAGTTTCTCATGTCTCTGCTTGTTTCTTGCACATGTTTGCTTGATGTACAGGCAAATATCATTCTTGACCTGTGCGATAAACAGCCACTGAGCTGTCAACATCTTACATGTTGCGAACAACAGTCGGCGGTTGTTCGCTTTGTGCAAAACGCACCGCCACCAACAACTGTGTGGTTTCCAATTGTTTAGTGCTTCAAACTAAAGACGTATGCGGCATCTTCTGCATTGACAAAGGCTGACTGCCGGTGGGAGCAACAAATGAGAACCCAAGCGCGGTTGAAGCAATCGACCCCATAGAACCAAAGTGAGGCATCGCAGCTTGCCTTTCGCATACGAAGATTCTCCCACAGCGCATCCTGATGTGTTCTTGATGTTCGGTGGATCGCTTTCGCCTTCGAAAGCGAGGCGAGTTCAGCTGTTCAAAAAGTGTGCTCAGAGTGATTAGCGCACAGCTGGAAACAACTAGACATTTGAAAGAATTTGTTTGCATGATCCAGCAGAGCACGTCTCTCTCAGATGTTAAGTCGACTGGAAGGGTGCGGGCCAACCCTTTGGCGTGACTTGCAATGTGAGTAAAGACATGTTGAATCGATCATACCTCTGGAACGGGGGAGGCTTGTTGTTAACCGTTGAAATTAATAAATTCACTCAACCGAACGGCAGCTACATCCCGAGAAAGTCCAAGAGTGGATGGGGATTAGCACCGGCGGCTCAAGCAATTTGCAGAATCGACCGTGTAGTTGAGAGGGTTGTTTTACGCTTCATGCGCAGATCAGGTTTTGCGAGAAACTGCTTGTCACAAGTGCTTTTGCAGCTCCTTGCGCAAAACTAAAGCAACCTGTTCCGGAGGCAAAAACCAGCTTCGCAGCACGTCTCAATGAAGTCGGCAAAGTTGGCATCGCTTCAGACTGGCCTCGCTGCTGCGCGAAGCCGGGTCTGCCAGGCACAGCGGTGCTCCTCAACTTGTGCCCCCCCAGCCAAAGATCAGATCTCTGATTCTGCCAACATGTAGTGAAGCATAAATTGCAACATACTCTGCAAATCAACCTGAAATCCCACATGCTCCTTGCGGGGGAGCAGCCAAAAATGGGTTCCTTCCGTTACTCGCTTCCTGAGTGGGCTGGCCAAGCAAAGTCGATTGGTTGGCTGCTAAATCTTCAAGTCCATAAACTCAGGAAGTGAGCTTAACGAGAAGCAGGAGAGATCCGTCGAGGTTTCGCAACACCGTCCGCGCGGCTTCCACGCGCCCAAGGTTATGCTTGCGTTGTTAAGCTCTGACACAATTGCAGTTCTGCGCGCAAATGCTCGGCTTCCACGGCGGGTCTGCAAGTGTTGCGCGCAGCAAAGCGGTGGCCTTGTAGTCTTGGTGGCTGTCCTGACTTTAGCTCTGGCCCTGGGAATCTTGGGGTTGACTGGATGTTACTCTGTTCGGGTTCTTGGAGGAGATTAGCCTTTCTAGGCTTTCCACAGAGCTTCCGCGGAGGAAACTGTTCGAAAACCATTCACGGGCTACAGCTCTCTCAGAATAATGTCGGCTGCTGCACAGAAGACCGCGATGCTTTAGAACGCTCACATGGCTTGCTAGGTATTCCAGACAGGGCAGCCATGCACACGTCACGCGAGGGGGCGCCCTCAACCGCAGAACCTCCGGTGCCCCTGCAGTGCTGAGGCCGACAGCTACGAGCAAAGCACTT